GAGAAGAAGAAAGACGGGAATTTAGTCTGTAACTTCATATTACATTCTTATTGATTTGATTTAAACATGCCTTAGCTGTAACACGCGGTCGAATGACGCTAGTGAGGATAGCACATTATGGAGAATTTCAAGAAATTGGGAATCGTAAAACAGTTCTATTTTAGTTTCATTTAGGTAAGTATGCTTTGCTTTAACGCTTTTAGTTACACTGAAACTACAAAATATCGACACTTTCCTACATGTGTGCAGCAAAGCATATGAAATTCGGTAGCAAGAAATAATTGATTTCCCATTTCATCTTTTACTGTTGCACCTGAATTAACTCTACACATTCATGGACTGCACTCCGACTAGACCCCGAATGTGCAATTTATCACGCGATAAAATTTAAGCCCATGGCTATGACAATCACTTTGTTCGGCGAATTCTTCTACAAAAACATTGTTCTCAAAGCTCATAACTCTCCTCGACTCAGCTGCGAATCCTTCTTCTTTCTATACTAATAACGTGAACATCAACGCCATGAAATCACATGCCATTACCACAAAAGTACGCTACGAATAGACCACGAAAAATATCTATAGATAGTCTTTAGGATAGTCGCAGAAGTCCTTGCCAAATTGTAAAGATTAATACAAAATAAAGCTGAAAGTAAGTAGTTAAATAATATGTTTATAGAGCAGTCACAATAAGTATTTTTTCGCCTCACTGCTAAGAGTACGTGATTTTCATATATATTAAGCCAGAAAGCCAGTAGCGCGAGTAAAAACTGAGACTCCAGTATCAATGCATAAAGATTAATATTTTAATAATAGCAATGTATTTAAAATAAAAATACTATATCATCAGAGGTCATTTCATAACATCATGGCAAACTATTTTGTGTATCCAGAATAACGCTTTGTACTATATACTAGGTTATCGCACATATACATTTGAAAAACAGGGTGAACAAAATGGGATGGCAAATTGCCGATGACATCTGTGCATTTGATGTCTGCTACGCACAGAACACATACAAACGTTAGTATCAAAGAGACTATGTTCCGACGAGAGATGACCCTAAAATTGAACCAAGTGAGCATATGTTAAAATGCTCGTTTGTGCCCTGCTCAGCTACGACAAGCCTTAGGTGATACGACGTGTTGCCCTATTGAACTGTTTGCACGTTGGGTAGAAGCCTTCAAACGTGGACGCGCAGCAACAGTTGACCTCCGCGCAGTGGACGCCCAGCCGTCTGCTGGACAGTGCAAGTTGGTGTTTATCGAAACCTGTTTAAGCAGATGGAATGCTTTGGATGCGAC